AGCCTCGCCTAGTTTCTATTGGCCTCAGCCTCGACCTCGATTCGGGTCTCTTGGTCTCAGCCGCGCCAGTTGACCGAACTGATCCACGTGATGCGTGAAGGCGAAAGACTTAATTGTGCTGGCTCTTCTCGTCTCATTGTTTTTGTGCGCTTTCTCGCCTCAATCTCCGCTTATGCAACAACTGCAGCTTGGTTTTGCGTCGTTTGGCCAGACAAGATTGCCACTCCACTTCACTCCACTCCAAAACTGCACTCATCAAATCAGGTTGGTTCATTTAACGTATTTTAACTTACTTTCCTCCAGAGTGCTCCTCTTTGTTTTGTGTAATCTCAGCTTTCTGGTTAAAGGGTCGCTCTCAGGATTGGGCTCCACATGCACAGACAGACCGTCGGATAGATTAACAAATTTACCTCTTTGGAGGTATATTTCGACTGACGAAGTCGACGAATAAGCGAGTTTCCGATAATCTCGACTCGCCTTTGCCGAGCTGACAAAGTTGTCGTCTGAAGCAACATTTTTTCATGTTTTCTCAGGTTCTCCTCCAGCAACTTAGTTCAATTATTAGCTTCATAGTCTAAAACTCAAGCAATGCTCTCCTTTTCTACCTTAAGGATCCCTAACCGCTTGGTCTCGTACTTGCTTAAGTGGAATAATTTCGTTAAGGTACTCACTATCTTGTGTCTTGTCCACGTGTTTCTCTACTTTCTCTTACGATCCACGCCTTGGAGCACCATCAAACCAGAGGCTAATGACCCCATCTTTTCGTTCAAGGAGATACAAGGCTTCCTCATTCGCGCCATCCGCGAGAGGAATCCAACATTTGTGATTCCTGATGAAAAATGTCTTCTCCAAAATCGAAATTGCTACAACTACGGAAGAGGGAGTTTTCAGATCTGTCCGAAAATCTGCCGGATCCATAACGCCACGACCCCGACGAATCTGAACAGAACGGATCCGCTGGAACTGAGGCCACCTGTTCCGCTGATCACAGCTCAATCCTCCTTCCACTCAGAAAAGACTTGGCGCGGACTGTATCCCGGCGGTCTCTGGAGCCCCTACAGCGTTGGCAACAGCCATTGCAACCAACAGTCCGGCCTCGCGGTTGTCATTCCCTTTCGCAATCGACACCGGCAACTCAACACCATGTTGCCCATACTGCATCAGGGGCTGCGTCGTCAGGGTGTGTGCTACAGAATTTTCGTCGTCGAGCAGGCCGGTGACGATCTGTTCAACCGAGGCGGCACCAGCAACGTCGGCTTCCTCGAGGCGGCAACTCGATTCCAATTCGACTGCGTCCTCTTCCACGACACCGACCTGGTTCCGATGAATCCGAGGATACCATATGCCTGTTCCCAGGACCCCAACGAACTGCCCCTTCACATGTCGGCCAACGTGAGTCAGTTCGGCTGGAAGCTGCTCTACCAAGGCCTAGTTGGCGGCATAATACGCATGCCGATGAACCAATTCGTCCGCGTCAACGGCTACTCAAACAAGTATTGGGGCTGGGGAGGCGAGGATGACGATTTGCGCGTTCGGCTTGTCACCATGGGACTCAGCTTTAAACGACTGCCTG